TCGTTGGTGCATGCAGCCAAATTAAAGAATTCTATAGAAGCCAGTATATCGCATTCACTTAATTTTGTAGTAAAAAGTCGAAGTACAAATTTCGTGTACCCTTCATGTCAACGAAAATAAAGAGACGAACAGAAAATATTGGGTTATCGGAGGGATTTGTGCCGTTTTGCGGAAGAAATTTTACAAAATTTTTGGCAAGACACTATACGTTCGAAAGAAGAAGTATTCTTCTAAAAGAAAGACTTAGTTTATCCAGTGATTTGGCTAAGAGGAAAGCTCAACCAAGAGCTTACTTTTTTCAAAAAGCAAGGAGCTTGAAAATTGCTTTAATGCTACGTTTTGGTGTAATCAGATATGCTCTGGCGAAAAACAAATCCATCTCCTATAATAGAGCCTTACAGTATAGCTACGGTAGATATTACAGCGGCCAAATTCACGAATTCCATGGTAGTTGAGAAGGTCGAATGACATCCTGACTACAAAAATTATACTCACTTCGCATAATAAACCCTCACTTAAAATTAGAATGATATAGAGGTCAAAATTACTGCTGGAAAAGGAAGAATGGAATTTTTTTTCATCTCTACGTCGATATCTCTTTACCACGGGGAATGAGTATAATTTTTGTAATCAGCATGTCATTTGAATTGTGTAGACCACTTTTCAAGCAACTCTGTGAATTTTGTCTGCACAGTTTACTACCCTATTTCTCTAGTGAGGTCCTATCATGGAAAATAGAGACGGTTTTTGGTAATCACCATAGTTGGTTATCTCACTATGTAGCGTTATCACAAATTCAGTGTTCGTCGCAATCCAGGAAAAATGAGCCTGAGTCCAACATTCTTTGAAGAAAAGCATCTACTTTCGCTCGCTTCCTTAGATCACTTTTGAGTGCCATAATCTAACCGCCCAATAGTTTTTAAAAAAATCTATTTCACGACCCATTCCTTAACCGATTATCTTGGATAGCTTATTTTGTTCCAAAATACGTTGATGCTTCAAAGGTTCTAGTTGTAAATGTCACTTTACAAATTATCGCATTCTTTCATTCCAACTGATATTGCAATATTCCGATATCAGGGTCGCCAATAGGCTCTTGAAAAACATGTTGGAAAGTTATTATATTTGATTTTTTCTAACACATGGAGGGAAATTAACAATTCTATTTGTCACAACTTTTAAGGGCACACTACGTATGACGACGAAGAATATACTTGGAAAATGAGTCAAGCGGAAAACCCGATAATTCTCTTCTATACTAGGAGACCATCTCAAAAGTAGTCTTTTACCCATTTTAATTTTTTTAAATAACATTCAACAGGAACTGCCCTTGATTAGTGCTGCGTAGCTGCAATAATAGTGGTAATCCATGAAATTCTGTGGATTCTGCACAATAAAAGTGCATCGCATTATCGTATATGATAGAATTGCTCCAAATGCCCATACTTTGCGATTTTGAAAGACGTGCTAAAATTTTCTCAAATTTATGGCACGGATAGATTTTATTCCCGTTTTCTGAAACTTAAGAGGAGAGGGTTTATGGAAAGTGAATGGTCTATAGGTTCTGCTGCTAAAAATGGCTGAAATCGTTTTCTGAAAGATATGCTGGTCCTAAACTCAGGACAGGTCAGCCCTCTCAGCCTGTTTGTTAACTTTTCCGCAAAT